CTGGGGTTTTGGAAAAGTGTGGGTGGGCCATCGTTTAGTAAGATTAATTCGTTGTTAAATAGAAAATCTTGTAATGTTTTTCCCCCTTTGTTAGGCGTAGTTTTACCCCACAAGGGGTGGTGACAGTTCAAGTCCCCCATGAGAACCCCCCCATAGGGGTGTCTATGTTTAAGATGTTCTTTAAAATTTCCTGGGATATTTTGTAATTTGAGTTACAATAGATGTTTGTTAAAAAAAAATTTTTTATTTTAATTGTTATGTACTGAATATGGTTATTATTAGAAGTTTCAATAGTATCAAATGTAATGTTATTTTTGATTAATGTTGCTACTGCTCCATACCCATCTTCCCTGTCTTGTCTTATCGATTGAAATGATTTCAAACTGAAGTTATGGTTGTTTTTTAGCCAGGTTTCATTTAAAAAAATTAGGTCAAATCCTTCTGAAAATTTAAATAGATTAGCCCTGTTTTTATTTACGCTTCTTATATTCCATTGCAGTATGTTGAGATTATTTTTCTTTGTTCTTTTGAGACTGGAGTGTTGTATTTTAACACGAATCCGGATAATCCAGATCCCGATATATATATATATATATTGATTGGTAAGTTTTTTTGCATGCTGCTGATGAATCATGGAATGTTTTTAAACGCCATTAATTTTTTAATATCTTGTTGTCTCATGTATTCTCTACATTGTTTGTAGGAACTTTTATGCGGTTCGTGGCAAAAGTGACATTTAGTGTCACATGTATACGCGGGTTTATCTTCCCCGGTTATCATAACTTTATGGCTTTGCGCATTTTTTTCGCCGCAGTTAAAGCACTTTTCCTGCCCTTTACAGTTTTTCTTAGTGTGCCCATACAGGAGACATGAAAAACATTGCGTCACTGGTGAGATATACACTGACACCGGTAAGGGTAGACCAAAAACTCAATTTCCTTCGGCATTATAGTTAGTGCCTTTGAATGTAAAGAGACAGGTACCCGTTGGTAGATATTCAATTTTATCATTTTTGAAGATTTTGCGATTAAGTCTTTTTATGTTGAGGATGTCGCTCTTGCAACTGCATGCTTCCAAAAGTTCTGTTTCGGAAAAATCTAAGTCTATTTCTCGTACTACGCCCTTTGATGTTGTAAAGTTTAATGGAATGAAAACATTACATTATTTTTTTTATATCCTTAAGCCTTTATCTTTAAAATTTTTATTCTTGATGAAAAGGTTAGCTGCCTCCGCTGAAATAAATTCTATACATACTCGGTTCAGGCCTTTATTTTTTATAGCCTTGATATTTCTCAACTGAAGGTTGAAAATATCTGGCAATTTTCAAATGTGAAAACCTGCCTATATTTTCTGCGCTGTTCTGCGGTTCAATGTAAACAAAAAAGGGACCGAATTTTTTCATATCATAAAAAAGGTAGGTAGTTATATCCATGCCATAAATGGAAACTGTTGATAAAACATTTCGTTATCAAGTCTATAAGTACCCCGATTAGCCCGCACTCTGTCAAGCCTTCAGCACGCGAAATCTTGTACGTCAAAATAAAAACTTTCGTTTTTAAAAAGGACATTTTCAATTGGAAATCTATAATTGGCGCAGTCGGTAGGATTGGATTGGTGCGGCGTGATCAACCACTTTCTGAATCGTTCAGTAAAAATCAGACGTAACGTGATTAGTCGAATCGTGCGGCGAAAATCAATTTTGTGCTCCGGTTAAGTGACCCAAATCTTTGGACAGCGCGTCTTGTGTTTCAACACTTCAGCACTATCCACACCTTGCAAAGTGATCCAGAAAACGTCCCAAGACTACAAGAAGTTCCCCGGAGGATCGAGAAAGGAAGAATACTGTAAGTGCTCGCTTTTCCTTTCTACCCCATCTTAGACCCTATGAATAAGGCATCTGGTTGGGATATTTAAGAATTTTTTGTTTTCCTTGAATTTTGAATGAACAATATCAACGATTTATTTCAAGCAATAAACGAAATATCGATCAAAGCAAACAAAATGACCCAAACTGAAGCAAAAATAAATTGGGATTTACTAAAAAGTAAACTAGATAATATCAAACCTTACGATGGAGACGTAAATAGTTTAAACAAATTCGTAAAAAGAGCCACATATCGCGAATTCAATGATTCCGATCTAGATCAACACATCTATGAGTGTGTTCAAGAAAAATTAATTGGTAGGGCAGAATCTATGGTAGGCAATAGAGCTGAACTAGATACCTGGTCTAAACTAAAACAAGCTCTGTTACAATGCTTTGCTGATCGTAGAGACTGTTTAGTCCAAGAACTCACGAGAACGCGTCCAAACAAAAATAAACATTTGATTGACTTTGGAAGCCGTTTACAGCTAATTAGAGTAACGTAGTCCAAAGAATAAGTAACTTTCATTGCAGGATGCACTGGTGTACTTAAAAATAATATGTCCATCAAGAAACCTGAATCTCTGAAAGATGCTATATCATATGTCAGTGAATTTGAAATTTCGAAAGGCTATACGGTAAAAATACGCGACGAACAGAGAAGTGTTCGGACGTCCCCAAAATGTTTTCCAACCGAAACACACCCCGCAACACTTGTTGCCAAGAGCAGTTCCAATGTCTGGAATATCCAGAAACTCTTCCATTCAACGCCCTATTAACCAGAATTTTCAAACTCAAAACTACCCAGCTCGAAATTTTCCTAATCAAAACTACTTCAGGTCACAACCCAATCAAAGACCAAATTTTATGTCACAGGAACTTTTCAATAATGAATATTATAACGAAAATCCTACACCCGAAAATATCTGTAATTATGCTGATAACTATTATTACGATTACCAACTACTCTATGACGACAATCAATTGTCTAATCCAATTCCCGAGGAAAATAATTCAGAAAACTTCTGCCAAATTCAAGAAATTCCAAGATAATAAAGAATATTCCGAAAATTTTCAGGCAAAGGCCCAACAGGAAAAATATCCTTAATCGAAATAAAAGCTTCTTCTTCGAACACCCTTCCCTATGTTGAAATCGAAAACCCTAAGCTGAAACTGCTTATAGACACAGGAAGTTCACGATCCATTCTCAACCCCTCAATTACAGAAAAGTATTTTCCAAACCACATATATCACACAACCAACACACTCAAAACCGCAATTGGTAGCAAAAATACACGTTTTGAAGCAGAAATTCCCGCATTCCCAGAATTTTGTTCCAACAGCTTCATTCTTTTCAACCCTCATGATTTCTTTGACGGAGTTTTAGGATTAACCGATCCAACAAAAATGAAGTTTAATATCGATCGAATGAACAAAAAACTTGTAGGGCAAGACGCCAGCATTCCATTCAAGTACAGAACACGAAATGACGTAAATTTTTCAATAATTCTAAACCCCCATGAAAGGTTAATAAAGAACGTATCCGTGAATATACTTGAAGGCGAAATTCTAACGAAACCATCAAAAATAAATAACAAACTCTTTGTCCCACAAATGTTAACACAAGCTTCAGAAGGATTTGCTACTATAGAAATTCAAAATAATACCGATGAATTTGTAACTTTCACTTTGAATGAACCATTTTCAGTCGACTCCTTTGAAACCAATC